AATGGGACTTAGCCACCTCAATTCTGCGTAAAACCACAAATAAGATCTTTAAAACCTTTGCCAAACTCCTTAGAAATCTGAAATCCCTGAGTGCAGCTCTGTGTCTGCCCAGAACAGCCACCATTTTGGCAGCTCTCAGTGGTTCAGCACCTATATATATACCTAAGCCCATTCAGGATCAACCTAGGCTTTTGTTTGCTTAATAAACCCTCTAAAGAGTTTGTTCCCATAGGCATGCTTCAGACCTGCCAACCACAGCCTGACAGAATTAGTTTCCTTACAGATTGCTGGTGGAGGGGAAGATAGTGATGTTAGGGCTGCAGCTTCTGAAGTCTTGTGACATAAGACACGTACTCAAGTAAGTTTCTTGGCTCTCGTAGCAAAGGAAAGCTTGAAAACATGATGCTGATATAACTGATGTAGCAATGCTGGCCTGAAACTGAAGCCAGCAAGAAACAAGAAATCTGAGAAGGGTTTCTATCATACATCTCAAGGAGGTGTCAGCTATACCTGGAAGTATAGTGGGAGAGTGGCAGGCATTCTTACTCCCTTGGCGGCCAGCAGCTGGGCAAAAAGATGTCACACTATATACATAAAAAGAGAACAGCAAGAATGGGAAACTAAGAAATTGGGGCATGGCTGAAGAACTAAATATATCCTTTGCTTCGGGTTTCAATAAGGGTGATGGTATCAATCATGGTGGCATGGGCAGGATTCATAATGAAAATGAGGACTAGGAATAGTTATCAAAACTGGTGGAAGCAAAACTCATACGTTCGGTGGACTCGAATTAGTGAGCAGGGGGCAGGGGGTGGATAATCTTGAATTTAGAATTCTGAAGAAAGTGGAAAGTGAAATGACAGGATCAGTAGCTGGTTTTCTTTAAGACATCTGCAAGTCTGGGGTGATATCACATGATTGGACAATAGCAAATATTGTCCCTATATTGAAGAAGGAGAGAAAGATCAGTTAGTTTGATCTCTGTGTATATAAGGCTTTAGAACAAATTTTCAAGGAAAAAAATAATTACATCTAAATGAGAAAAATAAAATGCAGCCTGGGCTAACCAATCTAGATTATATCAGATTTATATTTCACTGATAAGAGAACTGATTTTTCTAGACAAAAGGAAGATTGTAGTAAGCCATTTCAACTTCAGTAAAGCAACTGTGTCACATAGGAAGCTGGTGGAGCTGGGTATTCAAGGAATTATAACGTGTTAAAGAACTGTCTCAGAGGAAGAAAGTAAAAGATGGCATTGAAAGGGGAAGCATCAGGCTAATGGAAGATTTGTAGTGGAGTTCCTCAAGAATCAGTCTTGGGACTAGTCTTACTTACTATCTTCATTAATGACCATGGCACCAAATATAGGAGTTTGCTAACAAAATTCACTGATGATGCAAATCTAGAAAGCTGCATTGGTTCAGAGGAGGAATAAGATATGCATAAAGAACTGAACAACCTTGAGACTAGAATAATAACAAGATGAAATTCAGTAGGACATAATTGCATACAATTGGGAACTAAGGTCATACACTTGTGGACTAACAGCCAAAATTTCTGCCCTCAGCTTGGAGCTTGGAAACAACTGAGGAAACGGGCTTGGTGCTACTAATTGATCACAGGTTGACTATGAGCTGCCAGTGAGATTTCATATTGCATCAGCTGGGAAATATCCTGTAGAGAAAGGGAAGTATTAAGGCCATTTTATAATACAGTGGTGAGACCTCACTGGAATATTGCGTGCAGTTCTGTTTGCCCATGAACAAGATGAACTGAAACTGAAGCATATGCAGATAAAGTCTACTAGGATGCTCAAGAGAATGGAAAACCTATCATACGAGGGGAAACTAGATGAGCTCGGCTTGTTTAGGAAGCAAAGGCTGACAAATGATGCAGTTGCTCCCATGTATTTATTGGCAGCAAACACAAGAGAGGCTGAAGAATAAGTAAAGACAGTGTGGGTAGGAGAATAAATTGGAATAAAATGTGAATACATTTAGGCTGAAAATTAGGTTTCTAACTGTTAGAATAGTGAGGTTCCGGAATAGCCTACCATTGCTTTGGCATTGGGTTAAAAAATAACTACCTTCAAGATGAATTTTAGTACATTTATTAAAGAGATTACATGATATGTTGACTTCAGTAGCACTGGACTTGATAACCAAGGAGGTTCTTTTCAGTCTTATATTCATGGAAATTAATTTATTGAAATTTTGTACATGATATTAAGTAAGAACATTGGCTAGGTGTTTGATAAACATAAGTAGGTATGGCAGGATTCAATTTTTATTGCAATGAAATCGATGTTTCAGACCAACAGACCAAGGGAAAGAATATTTCTATTGGTAATCATTGAAATTTATAGAAAGGAGGCTATAACAGGGAACTTTTACCCATGTTAATGGACAGTGGGAAAAGAGAGGAGAGACAGAGGGTGGAGGGGTTAAAAAGGAAAACAATGGGTGCCTAATTACTCATCAATTAAACAATTAGCTGCTCCTTCTGGCCTAATGACTCATCTGTCCTAATGACTCATCAATTAAGCAATTAGCTGCTCCTTCACAGATGTGGGAAACAGGCCTGAGGAAGATTACAGGCTTCTTAAACAAATGCTTTCCCAAAGGGGGGGGGGGAGTATACCAGGCCTCAGTGGGGTGGGCCAGGTTG